AAAAAAAAAAAAAAAAAGAGATATTGATTTCTGGCTGGGTGTGGTGGCTCATACCTGTAATCCTAGCACTTTGGAAGGCCCAGGTGGGAGAATTGCTTGAGGCCAGGAGTTCTAGACCAGCCTGAGCAAGAGTGAGACCACATCTCTGCAAAAAATAGAAAAATTAGCCTAGAAAATTAGGTGGGAGTGAGTGGCCAGAGCCTACAGTCCTAGCTACTGGGGAGGCTGAGGCAGGAGGATCGCTTGAGCCCAGGAGTTGGAGGTTGCTGTGGTCATGCCACTGCACTCTAGACTGGACAATACAGTGAGACCCTGTTTCAAAAACAAACAAGAAAATATATTGAATTCTATGGTTGACATCTATAAGTATCCCAAATTGGTATTGATTGAAGTCTTTCCAAGCTAATTTTTAAAAACTGATCACGACTTTTTGTTCAATGTGAAGTATTTAAGTGCTAGTAAAATCGATCACTGTGTAAAGACTTCAATATAAGGTCACTCTTTCCTGGAAGATAATTTTTGGGGGAATCCTTAGTTCTTTTTGGAGTATATATGCTGTATTCTCAATAAATAGTTTTTGATGAATGCCATCATTATGCACTCATGCTAAAAACCAATAATCAGTGAATTGCTAAGTTCTCTTGCTTTTATCTCCTAAATATGCTACAATCTATCACTTTCTCCCACCTACTATCTCCTTCAGATCCTCATTATCTCTCCCTAGTTCATTCAACAGCATCTCAAAATCGTCCTTCTCAAGGCCAACAGATTTTACTAATGCAAATCAATTTGTACTAAAGGTATGAGAAGAAGAAAAATTTTTAAAAAAATGCAAGTCAAATCATGACCACCCCACACCTAAAATCCCTCAGTAGTCTCCTATTCTTCAATCATTTAAAGGTAAATTCCAAGCTCTTTGGCATTTACTTGACAGACAATTCCCCCTGGTACCTGTGGGAGTTTAGTTCCAGGCCCCTGGTGGATACCAGAATCCTGGGATGCTTAAAATGGTATAGTATTTGCATATAATCTATGCACATCCTTCCATATATTTTAATCATCTCTAGATTATTGTAGTATTTGCATATAATCTATGCACATTTTTCCTTATATTTTAAATCACCTCTAGATTACTTATAATACCTAATACAATGTAAATGCTATTTAAATAATTGTTATACTGTATTGTTTTTTATTTTTATTATTTTTTAATGTTGTATTGTTATTTTATTTTATTTTTTTTTAGTATTTCCAATCTATGGCTGGTTGAGTCTGCCAGATGCAGATCTCCCATCCCGAGGACGACCATATATGGCCCTTCAAGGCACTTCTCCCCAGCCTTACCTCCTACTTTATGCTCCAGCAAAAATGGACGCCTTGTGGTTGCCTTGCACACCCTCTACTCCTTCCAGTCTCCTCTACCTGGAATTGCTGGTCTAACTTCTCCACAAAAGCGAAGGTGGACGGGCCCCTTTTGGAAAATTTAAAGATAGTAATAAGATGATATGAAGTTGTTAGACTTAAATGGGGCTGTGCTAGATGGCTCACACCTGTAATCCTAGCACTTTGGGAGGCCGAGGTAGGAGGATTGCTTGAGGCCAGGAGTTCTAGACCAGCCTGAGCAAAAGCAAGACCCGTCTCTACAAAAAATAGAAAAATTATCCAGGCGTGGTGGCGCGCGCCTGTAGTCCCAGATACTTGGGAAACTGACGCAGGAGGATCACTTGAGTCCCGGATTTTGAGGTTGCAGGGAGCTATGACGATGACACTGTACTCTAGCCTGAGCGACAGAGTGAAATCCTGTCTCACAGAGAGAAAGGACTAAAATGGACAAACAAGAGGAAACTGGGATTAAGATAGGCGGACTCTAGAAGTGCCGAGGAAGGTGGCTTTGTTTTACTTCCTCACAAATAAATGGCGCAGGCCATGCTCCTGAAGCCAGATCTACCAGTTCCCTCTTTGCACAGGTTCTGTAAGACAATTCAGGTATTCCATCCTCTAAAAAGCTCTCCTCTCTCCCACCGCACTATACTAGGATCTCCCCGAAGCTCCCACACCCTGAGTTGTTTGCCCTTCATCCAGGAAAGCAGAGGGTAGAGAACAAGTTTATTCATCATAATCGAGCCTAGCACTATGTCTAGCACGCAGCCTACATTCAACAGAACGTAAGGAATAAAGGACTAAATAAATGTCAGACTTCTCAGAGCGTACTTTCCCTTTCATTAAAGAGCTTCTCCCAGACCCCGCCCCTACCTCAGTGAAGCCCCGCCCCGTTGCCTCGCTGCCACCTTACACCCCGCCCCTTTCACTTTAGATGCGCAGGAGACTACGGAAGTTTGGCGCCAACCGTGTTATTTTTTTTTTCCCTTCCAAAGGCGGGAACTAGTTATCAGCGCCAAGACGTGCGTTGCGTCTGATCTGATTGGTCATAGGCGCTCAGTCCCGCCTCCGCGTCCTGACTGAGCTCTGGTATTGGTGGAGATGCCAGGGAGACCTCGGTGTCGAGAAAGGAACCCGGGCTGTCTTGGGCCCCGCAGGGCGGGTAAGTTGCTCTGGGGGCCAAGTCCCCGCAGGGCTGCAAGGGAAGAGGCTGCATGGCGTGGTAGTTCCCCAAGCTAAGGCCAGCGGAGCCCGGGAAGCCAGAGAGTCGGAGGGAATCAGTTTAGAGCGGCCAAGTCGGCGGGGGAAGGGCCGCGAGTGACGTACGGGGGGCCGCAGGTAGCCTCGTTCTCGCCGCCCCGGGTGCAGCGTCTGGGCTTGCACCCGGTGTCCCTCTGTGGTTCCTCGAAAGGGTCCAGGCAGGGCCTGGGGGCTAACGTACCTAGAAATTGCCCTTCCGACCGCTCGTCCTGCCCCTCCCCCCCCAAGCCGAATCTCGCCTTGGAATATATTCTCCAATGCTTTTGGTTGGGGTTCCGTGGACAAATGGGTTTTCCTGAGTGTCAAGTGATCATTGATGTTGGTTTTTTCCGAAAGTGTTATGGCTGAGAAGTTGTTTATCTTGAGCTCTGCAGCGCCTAGAGCCATCCCTGACACATAGTAGGCCCTAGCTCAGACGTGGATGTAGAATTCGCAGAATCCCCTGATTTGTGCTTCAGGGATCAGGTTGTCTTTGATTCTTCGACTCTTCCCTGGTCTTTTCCATTCTCCACAGCTCCAGCACCCAACCCCCGCCTCTCCTCAAGGCCCTTCCCCTATCTCCCTCTGCGCCTCTTTGATTGGAGGAGGACAGAGGCTTTCAGGGCAAGAATCCTCTCATCTCTCCCTACCCCCAATTATCTTCTAATGTTTCCTGCTGTTTTATAAGAGATGGCCCCCTTTCAAAAAAACATTTATACTCTAATGGATATTCTTGGTTTTGATCTTCTTGCTTTAGAGACAGACCTGGGGGTCTAATCCTAGCTCTGGCATTTACCAGCTGTTTGTCTTGGGCGAATTTCTTAATTGTCTGTATCTATTTCCTCATCTGTAAAATGGGAAAAAGAATAGTATGGACCTCCTAGGACTTTGGGGAGGATTTAAAGTAAATTAATAATGTATTTGGAGCATTTAGGTCAGTCCCTGGCACATAGTAAGTGTGCAATATGTGGTAGCTTTTGTTAGTTTTTGCCCCTCACATATTCTGGGATGTTGCTGTATTAGTTTGCTTTTCCTATGAGCCCCAAAATACAGACTCTGTCTCCCCTGCCTTTTTCTTGTTTTTCTCTACAAATGCTTGTTTCTTTCTTTCAATTTATAAAGAATAAACTTCCTTCAGAGTGCTTTTTAAGACATTGTCCTATCATCAAAGGCTAGTGATCTTTCTTTTATCTACTTTGCTTTCACATCTGAATCCATTAGAATTGTTCTGAAAAAGATTATGTATTAGTGAGCTTGCAACTCTTAAATCATTATGGCTCTCAACTTAAAAAATGTTGCCTCTGTACTTTTCACAGGTGCATCACTCCTATCAGTAGCAATTGTCATTAGATATTGAGATCCTCAAATGGGGGAAGGTGAGAGAGCAAGTGTGAAAAAGTCCCTCTTCGGAAGAGATTCTGATACATTCTTCCTCTTCCTGTCCCTTCTTCCTTTCTTTCCAGGCGAATTATTGTCCTTTGTGTTTTCAAGAGTGTAATCTCAACTATTACCAAGATGCCAATGAGTCCCAAATCATAATACCTACTACATCTTCTGTGTGACATACTATTTCCGGCTCTCTGTTAGACATTTTAATCTGGATGTCCTACAGATAACTAAACATGTTTTCTTTGGTTCTCCGCTGCAGTTAAAAGTGTGACTGTCCACCTTATTGTCTAAGCTAGAAACTTCAGAGTTGGGAATTTCATTAATTTAACAGATATTCTTTTATTACTTACCAACCTGCTAGGCCCTGTGCTGAGAGCTGGGGAACAGAACAGAGATGATCCTGGTCTTCATGGAGCTTACAGTCCAGTGGGTGAGATGAACATTTCTCCTAGACTCCCACAAAAATGTAATCATGAAGTGTGAGAAGAGGTTGTGTTGGGAAAGAATCTATAACAGGGCCTGACCTAGTGGGGAGAGGGAGTGGCCAGGGGAGGCTTAAAATTACTTAAGCCAAAATACCAAAGAAGAGTTAAGTGAAGGTAGAGAAGCATTGAGGAAAGAGCACTTCCTGCAGCAGCCCTGTGGTGGGATGGAACAAACAGCAGGTTCAGGAGCTAAAAGAAGGCCAGTATGATCAGAGCAAAGACTGCTGGGGAATGGGGGACAGTGATGCAAACAGACACTGGTAGGGTGGGCAGAGGCCAGGTCATGCAGGCTTTGTACACAGAATTGTGACAAAATTTGTCTTATACCCTATGATCAGCAAGGAATCACTGAAGGGTTTTTAAGCAGAGGAAGGAACATGATCAGATTTGCATTTTGAAAAGACAACTCAGGCTGTGGTGTAAAGAACAATTTGAAATGGGGAAGAGTGGACATTTGAGTACACTTTCCATTGAATTTTGTTGATCTACCACAGAAACCTCTCAGATCTGTTCCTTATCTTTATTTCCACTATTCATAACTTAGCATGAACGCTCACTGTTTCCTCCTCTGTTTTAAAAACCTATTCCATCTCCCTTGCCATTAATATTTTCCATTCTCTTGTTTTAAATTTCTGAAATGCAGATTTGATCATGGTATTTCTCTGCTTTGAAAACCTTCAGTGGTTTCCCCCATTCCCTACTAGATGAAGTCCAAGGATCTTTTTCATATAGTACATCTTCTGACTTTTTAAAACATCATTTCTCACATTTTCATTTTGCCTTCAACACATTCTGATCTTCACACCTGGACTTGCTTGTGAACTCATAGGTAGATGTGGTGGGAAACAGATGTGGAGAGATGGTTTCAGGAAGTATGTTTGCAAATAGGATCTCAATTTAATTGAAACTTGGGAATTTGAAAACTTTGGGATAGTGAATAACAGCGATAGAAAGGTAAACACCAGTGTATGTCAAGGTAAGGAGTTTGTTCTGTATTCACCAGACATTGGGAAGTAATGGAAAGTTTTTGAGTTGGAAGCGGTATGAGCAGGATTATTACAGAAGAACTAACCAAATAGTTGTGTGTAGCATGTATTTGGAGTAGGGAGATAATTAGGTAGCTATAGTGGGAACCTGAAACATTGAGATGGCAAGAATGGGGGTAAATGGGAGAAACATTTTGGAGGTAGCATCAGTAGTCTATTAGGGTATGTTAGTGCTACTTCAAGAAATAGAGGTGGTAGGAGTTGAGCAGTGTTGATGGAAAGATGATTTCCTTTTGTTCTGGACTTGGTGAGTTTGTACATACAGGAATGTGTTCATTACCTTCAGCATCTTGTTGCCAGCAGTTGGTTTGTATTTTAGTTCAAGCAGTTGCTAATTTTCAAGTACTCCGAGGAGATAGTAGGGGAGTCTATCTGATCTATTACCCCAACTTTTTATGGTGGTATTTGCTCTTTATCCCTTACCCTCTTGTTTTCGCCCATCAACCATTTATTTTTTATTTTAAACTTTCTTGAGAGATACAGTCTTGCTGTCTCCCTGGCTGATGTGCAGTGGTGCAATCATAGTTCACTGCAGCCTCAAACTCCTGGGCTCAGGTGGTCCTCATCCCTCAGCCTCCTGAGTAGCTAGGACTGCAGTTGTACGCCACCAAGCCTGGATAATTTTTAAAATTATTTTTGTAGGGATAGGGTCTTGCTATGTTTCTCAAGCTGGTCTCCACCTCCTGGTCTCAAGCAGTTCTCCCACCTTGGCCTCCCCAAATGCTGGGATTATAGGTGCGAGCCAGTGTGCCTGGCCACCATCAACTATTTAACTATTTAATTTGTGCTTGTGCAGTTGTAGAAAATAAGATACTGATGTCCAGGAGTTCATAACCTTAGGAAAGTATTCAAGTACATTTTTATAAATGCCCAATAGGTATTATAGCTAGTTATATGTTACTAAATTGCAATAACCACAGCCCTGTGAAGTCCTTTAGATGTGAGTTTTTCATGATAAATGAGACTAGTTTTTGAGTGAGGGCCAGTGGGATCCTCTTAGTAGTGAACTATGAGCTTCACGTAATGAACTTAGACATATATTTTGGCTAGTTGAGTCTTTTTGGGTTTGATTTCCTTGTTTAGTCAGCAAACATTTATTTTCATGTATGTATATTAAGTACTGGGAATACAGAGATTTATAAAACTTGATCCCTGCCTTCAAATTGCTCATGGTCTAACTGCTATCCAGTAAAGTATCTTCTAGCCACATATGACTATTTAACTTCAAATTAATTAAAATTAAAAATCAGTTCATCAGTGGGGTAGGCCAAATAATGGCCCCCCAAGAATGCCCATATCCTAATACCTAGTACCTGTGAATATCTTACCTTACATGGCAAAAGGGACTTTGCAAATATAATTAAGTTAAGGATTTTGAAATAGTAGAGTATCTTGGATTATCCAGGTCGTCCCAGTGTACTCCCAAGAGTCCTTATGGGAGGCAGGCAGAAGGGCAAAAGTTAAAAAAGTCAATGTGATGACAGAAGCACAGAGAGAGAGAGAGAGAGAGAGAGAGAAGCAAACATGACTATAGAAAGATAGGTCAGAGAGGAAAGAAGATGGTGTGCTGTTGGCTTTGAAGGTGGAGGGAGGAGCCACCAGCCAAGAAATGTAGGCAGCTTCTAGAAGCTGGAAAAGGCAAAGGACAGATTCTTCCCTACAACCCTCAGAAAGAGTACAGCCCTCTCAATGACTTGATTTTAGACCAGTGAGACTCATGATGTCCAGAACTATACGATAATAAATTTGTGTTTCAGCCACTAAGTTTATGGTAATTTGTTAGAGCAGCAATAGGAAACTAATAGATGCAGTCTCACTATGCATACTTCATGTATCAATAGCTGCATGTGGTGCTAGTAGCTACCATATTGGACAGGTGAACATTTTAATCATTATATAAAGTTTTATTGAACAGCACCGGTCTAAAACTGTAGTTCTCAAAGCATCATCTGAGAACTTGTTAGAAATACAAATTCTCAAGCCTCACCCTAGACCTACTGAAT